CGAGAAAAGTGATTCCGTAATTTTTTTGGCATTAAATTTTTGGCGGGAAAAATTTACAAGGTATATTAAAGGTTTTTTACAGGGTATTTATAAGGTTTTACAATGTATTTTAAAAGGTTTTACAACGTATTTATAAGGTATTTATAAGATATTATAAGATTTTACAAGCTATTTTATAAAATTTTAAAAGTTATAAAGTTTTACAAGTTTTTTATATGGTTTTACAAGTTATAAATACATTATAAAACCTTATAAGTACCTTGTAAAACCTTTTAAAATACATTGTAAAACCTTACAAAACACTTGTAAATAATCTGTAAAACCTTTAAAATACCTTGTAAATTTTTCCCGCCAAAAAAATTGCGGAATCACTTTTCCCGAAAAAAAAAAAATTTTGGCGGGAAAATTGCGGGATCACGTTTCCCGCCAAAAATTTGCGGGATCACTTTTCCCGCCAAAAAAATATTTTATATTTTGTGGACCTAATTTTGTTTCAAATTAGGGTAAAATGGTCAATAAAAATTAAAAGAGGGCAAACTTAAAAATGGACTCTCAAAGAGGGCATTTTTGAAAAGGGGTATTGAAAAATGGTCATTTTTAATAATTTCTCTAAATTTTTTCTATCTTGATCATAATTTGAATTCTCACAAGTTGTTGGGTTTAGCCGTTTAGGTGGAGAAGCATTTGAAACTAGATCATAACCCGTGCTGGAACAGCACGGATGAAATTTTAATTTTTAAATATTTATATAAAGTTGGATTATTGTTTGTTTTATAGTATAATTTTAATAATTCTTTACATAATACAATGACATATAAGGATTTTTTTATTTTATTTTTTTTGATGAGAAAATATTAGGGGTGGGGTACGGTTTTTCGGTTTAGTATCGTTTTTTTCGTTTTGTAGAAAGTGAAACCATATAGAAACCGTATGTAATTCGGTTTAGTTACAGTTCGATTTTTACGGTTTTTTACGTTTTTTGGTTAAAAATAAAACGTATGTATTTGATATATGCTAGTAGTAAGTGAAAAAAAATTGTGTATATAATAAACATATTTTGGTATATAATAAGATTAAATTCAACACGTGCATACCTATATTTTTATTTTAGAATCCCAATAAAAAAATTGTGTGCACAATCAATCATTCATTATTTTCATATATACTTATAGAATCAAAACTTTAAATATTTAGAGGTGTCAAACCTTATTTAACTCATCTCATCATATAATCTTAATATAGTTTCGGTTATAAAGATCATAACTCTTTTTATCATATAATACATTACATTTAACCTTCTACTTGTTATAAATATTTTAAATATTTATGCTTTGAAAAAGGAAATTAGAGTATTTATAACTTTTATCTTTTGATTTATTAAATATTTATGATATTCTGTAAAATATTATATTAAACTATTTTTAAAATTTTCCAAATTAAAATATTTTTTATTATGTTTTATTGTAGAATATAAAATTAAGAATGTTTTTAAAATAATTGTATGAACTTAAATATAAATATTCAAATAGTTATAAGGATCATAACTCATTTCATCATATAATACATTATATTTAACCCACCGTCTATTATAAATATTTTTTAAATATATATGTTTTAAGAAAACCAAATTAGTGTATGTATAATTTTTAATTTTTTATTTATTAAGTATTGATGATATTTGTTTTTAAATATCAAGTAAAACTATTTTTAAATATTCTAAATTAAAATATTTAAAATTGTATCGCAGTATATAAAATTATATATTTTTAAAAAATATATGAAATTGAATATAATAACTCAAATTCTGACCCGTTATTTAGGCGGAATTTGTTTTGAATTTATTTTTGTTTAAATGAAATATATTATCCAAGTCTAAATTTTTGACTCGTTAAACTTTTTTTTACATAAATTGAATAATTTATATTCTTTTTTAAAAATTCAAATTATGGCATATGCGGAAAAAAAATCTATTTCTTATTATTATATGGATGATATGATGATTTATTTGTTTCACAATAATAGAATCATATAAAGATGAGAGGTGAAATATAATGATTAATAACAAATTAATAAGGTAAGTTAGATATCAAATCATATATATTCATTTTGATTGGTCATTTAAAAATAATAATAATAATGTGTTTTTCGTTTTTATAATTAAATTAAATTAATTAAATTGTATAAATTGACTTGTTTATCCTTAATAAGATGAATTAATTTACTCTTTGAAATTTTATCTCTAATTGCATTTTTAGGTAAATTTTTACAAAATGGAAGGTTAGTTAAGTGTATCTTATAAAGTGTACTCCCCAAATAATAGTATAGGATATTTTCTTTCTTTTTGCATTTGAAATATCTTATATTCATCAAAAACAAAAACAAAACATATGAAATATCTTGGGAAAAATATGTGAGCCAAGTAAAATATCTCTTTGGAATATATCTTGTGAGATATGTTGTAAGCCAAGTAAATATCTCAGTGGAGTATGTGGACCAAAGCTTTTCACTTGATGAAATCCATTTTTGTTAATACGTTATCTACATATATATTTCCAGAAATAGGCTTCCCCTTTAGAAAGTGTTTTAAGACACGACCTTTTAGTTCTATTGACGAATGATTGATAAGGAAGGATAAAGGAGAGATTACGAGTGGATCAAATAACAGGGGCGATTTACGAAAGTAGCAATAAGGTTGGGGGTCGGTTCCAAAACAACGTATCATTTATTTAGAAAACGAGAGTAGCCACGTAGGATAAATCACGTGGGGACTGAACATACAGGTGGCGAAATGTGAACCACTAAGTTTTTGACGAAATCTAAGCCAAGAGTTTGTGACGAACTTTCTGGAAGCAGAAGTGTGGTCTTGGTCCTTCATATGTCGGCTAAATTAGCCAGTGGGGTTCGTTTAATGACTGTGATGACACGTCGCATGCTTTGAGACGACGAATGGAATGAGTCACCATGTGGGACCTTACAAGAACCTGATCCCAGCCATTGCTTCGTCTTTTATTTTTTTTCTATAGTGGTTTCTTTTTGTGAAGAACAACATATGCAATTAGTTTTGGTTATATCATATATGGGTGATTTTATTATAACAATGTTATTTGTAGATAAAAAGTATAAATTAACACTACATAGCGTAGTAGTGTACACACTTTTATGCCAATCCAGAAAATTTTACTTTAAACTAATTAGGTTTTTGGTTTTATTTCAAAATCTCGTATATTTGCGTTTTCTCACTATAAAAGATATTAAATTATCATAAAATATTAACAAAAAAAATCTTAAACATAATTGGAAACACTATTTTTTTTTTATCAAAGTACACTATTTAGTATGATGAAATTTTCTCAAAATTAATTTTGCTTTATCTCATGATATTCATGCCGAAGAAGAAGAATAAATACCTCATGTCTCATGATATACTTAAAACTATAGAAGTTTATAATAAATTCTGTATTCTTAATATATAATTAATGGAGATGAGTGAAAGATACTATTTAATTTAGAACGTAGGAAATTTTTTAAGTTTTGTTTAAATTTTAAACTCCATCCGTATGTACGAGACTGCGAGTGATTGATTAGTGGTGTTATCCAAAGTTATGACCACAAGTCACAACAATGTATCCATCTATATGTTCATGCGTTTAACAAAGGCAATGAAGAAGGTAAACAAACCAATCCGTGTGACAAAAACTCACACGTTAATTAAGCGTGTAATTAAACTATCACTTGCAACATCTTTATATGAAAAGCATATATAAAGAACCCTCAAGAACATAAACACATGCATATTTCCACATCAGAAGCCAAACAGAACAAAAAACAGAGGAATCTTTATATAATTTTATCGTACAGTATATATGGATGTCCAAAATGGCAAGAACGGTGAAGCGAGTGTGTTTCGAATGCCTCTTCATTACCCAAGATACTCTAAAAAAGATTACCAAGACATGCCAGAGTGGAAGCTCGACAGGGTTTTAGCAGATTACGGTTTGTCTACTTATGGTGACTTGGCTCACAAGCGAGACTTTGCTATTGGAGCTTTTCTCTGGATTTCAACTCGTAATCCAAAGCTTTATCAAGACAAGTCCATCAACTCCAAACCGACGAAAGATACAAAATCAGCTCATGCATAAGGGTTTTACGGCTACTAAGCTTAGGTGTTGCAGTAAACAGATTGGTCTATGTTATGCTTACAAAATGATGTAATAAAGAAACATGTAAATCAAGAGTTTCGTATAGTAATGTTTGGAAGCAATTAATAACAAGGGTCAGAGAAGTTAAATGGTAGTTTTTCGCCTTGTGAAAACAATTTCAAGATCGTATATCTTCATTCTCACTCGCCTCATATTTGGAACAAGTACTTAGAATTCATTATTTTAATTGGACTTAGAAAATCGCTCTTGAACAAACCAAAACAGAGTACTACTTGAGAGTTGAGCGTGGCAAAAGAACCACAAGGCTGGTCTTGAGAGTCTAAACTAGGTCTTTTAGGATTTGGGACTACAAGTCTACAATAATATATATATCCAACTTTTTGAGACTAATTTTCTGGAAGATTCATTAGGACGATTGGTTATAGGTTTAGTTGTCTTCAGTGTAACCAGTTCAAGCTTTTTTCTCCCTCATCTGTTCAAAAAATTTCCCCCAAAATTTTTATTAATAAGTAGACCAAGTTTTTTGGGTTTGAGGCAGACTTCAGGGCCCAAGAAGCAGCACATACTGTATGTAACCAAACCCACCAATGATTTTTTTCTTGTGTTGGCAACAAGAAGTCCACCAATGAGTAAAGAAAAGTTAAAAATCTTTATTTACGAAATAGGTACCTAAAGGTACCTTAAGAAATCATGATGTACGTATATTGTTGTTAACTTGTTATGTATATAGTTTTTGGTCCCAAAAAAAAAAATTTAATGGTGATCTTTATTGATGAAGTCGGTTTATAACAAGTAACAACTAACAAAATATATAAGATCATCAGAAGCGAATTGAAAAATTCAATTATTTAAGATTTGGGGCGCATGGGGTGGTCTTCCCCAATTCTTTGGTGGTTTGTCGCCGGGATTACTGTAATCCACATGAGCAAACATCGACCCTTTTAGCATACACTCCTCTGTGTCACATTTTCGCTTCACTTCCAATCCCTTTATACAACAAAACTCATAAATAAAATAAATTAGTATAATTCTATACTAACTAATCTGCGGCATGCACATGCATATGAATATCTTTGTTATGTTTAAGTTTCAGTGTTTATCATTAGTCTTTGGGATCGGATATTGTTTTGAAGACTTACGTGTGTGTTCAATGTTGTTATATAAAAAAGATAGATGTGTAAATCGATCTAATTGAGTTAATACATGTGAGCAAATATTCGGGTCTGGCCGAGCAAAGGAAGTAATAACGATGAAGCACAAAAGTAAGGTTGCAGCTAGAAGCAAGTTTGTCTTCGCCATTGGTTTTTTTTTTTTTGTTGTTGTTGTGAATAATTGTGTGTTTGTCTATAATATGTTACGAGGGGAAGAAGAAGCCAATTTATAAAGATTATGAGAGTATGAGTGCATGTGTCAATTTAATAGAGATTATGAGTAGATGTGTTCTTAAGATACTATACTATATGCGAGAGAAGGGAAACCATAAGATACAAATTCATAGCACATTTCAAAGGTAATATTATAGAAAATGTTATTCCATAAGAATACTCTATGAGAAAAAACACATTTCTTTACTTGTACCCAAGTATATAACAAAGATAGTAGTTGTCCATATTCTTATGGAATAACATTTGCTATAATACTACCTTTGAAATGTGCTATGAATTTTTTGTTTCGATTCAACAATCAAACATTTATGTTTGGATTTCTTGCAATGTCATTTTAAATTAGATTGGTGAGAAAGAAGATACATAAATGATAGAGATATAGAGGTAGGTATATTAATAATAAGATGAATTTAAAAGGCGACAAAAAGACATAAATATATGGTATAATGTAACGTTCCGTTCTAGTGGCCATTGGGGCCGGTGGTGTCCTCCTTTTTATTCACTTCATTAAAGAAGTGAGACCAAATTCATTATTTTTAGTAGTATTATTTTCTTTTTGACATCAGACCTAATTAAATATTATTATTAGTATTTGATTATAGACTTAGAGCATATTTATCGGGCCAACTTGTTGGGCTGTTCTTAGATTTTAAAAATAATAAAATTGAGGAACATATACTCAAGAACATGGGTAAATGTTCTCCCTGAAGAACTGTTGTAGCATCAATTGAAGAACTGTTCTTAGATATTATAAGCTTTAATATTATTTTAATAACTAAGAACTATCTTCTTGTTTTAACGTTGCATAATCAAACAAAATATACAACGAATTAAAAATTCCAATTTTTGAAGCGGGAAATAAAATTTCAAGATGGGGTATGTGAGTTTTTTGTCATCAAATTGTCGTCATCGAATTCAATGTCTCTAAATTATTTAGCATTTCTTTTTTTTTCTTTTCTTTCTGGTAATGGGTTTATCCCGTAGCATTCATAATGTCACACCCTTTCTTGCATATTATCCAAAACATATGGGGGTACTACATGAATTTTCAAAGAATTTTCCCATTCTTTTTTTTGTTTGTTTATATTGATCAGCTGATTTTTTTTTATCAAATGTATTGATCTAGTTCTAAAATTATAACTGATGAAACTAGAAAACAACTAATTTAGTGTGAGTTGACAAATGTTTATAGCCTAATTAATAGTATTAAAAGTCAAAGTTTTTGAAGTTGATTGTTTCACCACTATTAAACCAAAAAAAACAAAGACAACTTGCTACCATATCAGAACCAAGAAATTGACAATTGAGGTATTGGGGGTATTATAGTAATTTACAAACGGGTCCACAAAAGTGAGCAATCCAGGGGTAGTGAGAGAGAAGGAAGAAGAGACAGGCGTCTAGAGAAGCTCGCTCAAAAAGTTTTGCACGAACACCTAAAAGTTCAATGGTCCACAAGGACGGCTGTGGTCGAGAGAGAGAGAGAAGAGAGGACCGCTTCAGAGACCTTAATCACGAAAGATCAAATCACAATTCAATACCAATCCCTTATCGTACGCCTCTCTTCCTTCAGTCCTTTTAACGTACGCATGCTCTCAATATTTTCCAAAGTACAATATAGAAAGAGACGGTAATAATAACAAGACTTCACGACTTTCAAAGTACAAAATCCTGCCCAGGAAAAAAAAAAAAAACCTGTTGGGTCTAATCTTTCTCTCTCTGTCTTCTACTTCTTTTTTAGCAAGCAAAATAAAAACAGACAAAGAACTTCCTTTTATGATAAAGGTAAGTTTTTTTTATTCGAAGGGAAGATTTTTGTGTCTTTTTTTGGTGATTTTTTCCTTATTTAATTTTTAGCTTTTTGAGAATATTGCTTAAAGGAAATTTCTTTTGTGCGTTTTCTTGTTGTTCTTGTAGATCTGATTCTTTTTCTTTGTCCTTTTTCTTTCTTCTCTCTCAGGTATGATGATAGCAAACAAATGATACCCCCATGTCTTGAGTGTCTGCTTCATGCAACATGTTGGTTTGGATTTGGTTAATCTAAAGTTTAAGATAAGGTTTTCGGATTCTCTTCCTGTCTTGTAATAGTTTCTTGTCGGAGAGCCATCAACAACAACAACTAAAAAAAAAAAGATTTTTATTTCCATTAGAGAAGAAGAAAGAAAAAGGAAAAATCAATGGCGAATCCTTGGTGGGTAGGGAATGTTGCGATCGGTGGAGTTGAGAGTCCAGTGACGTCATCAGCTCCTTCTTTGCACCACAGAAACAGTAATAACCCACCGACTATGACTCGTTCGGATCCAAGATTGGACCATGACTTCACCACCAACAACTGTGGAAGCCCTAATACTCAGACTCAGAGTCAAGAAGAACAGAATAGCCGAGACGAGCAACCAGCTGTTGAACCCGGATCCGGATCCGGGTCTACGGGTCGTCGTCCCAGAGGTAGACCTCCTGGTTCCAAGAACAAACCAAAGAGTCCAGTTGTTGTTACCAAAGAAAGCCCTAATTCTCTGCAGAGCCATGTTCTTGAGATTGCTACGGGTGCTGACGTGGCGGAAAGCTTAAACGCCTTTGCTCGTAGACGCGGCCGTGGCGTTTCTGTGCTTAGCGGTAGCGGTTTGGTTACTAATGTTACTCTGCGTCAGCCTGCTGCATCTGGTGGAGTTGTGAGCTTACGTGGTCAGTTTGAGATCTTGTCTATGTGTGGTGCTTTTCTTCCCACTTCTGGTTCTCCGGCTGCAGCTGCTGGGTTAACCATTTACTTAGCTGGAGCTCAAGGTCAAGTTGTGGGAGGTGGGGTTGCTGGCCCGCTTATCGCCTCTGGACCGGTTATCGTGATAGCTGCTACGTTTTGCAATGCCACTTATGAGAGGTTGCCGATTGAGGAAGAACAACAACAAGAGCAGCCGCTTCAACTAGAAGATGGGAAGAAGCAGAAAGAGGAGAATGATGATAACGAGAGTGGAAATAATGGAAACGAAGGATCGATGCAGCCACCGATGTATAATATGCCTCCTAATTTTATCCCAAATGGTCATCAAATGGCTCAACACGACGTGTATTGGGGTGCTCCTCCGCCTCGTGCTCCTCCTTCATATTGATAGTTAGATAGGCGGTGGTTGGTGCGTTCTTTTTGCTGGAATGATTATATTTCCCATTAGGATGGTTAGGCTTTTGTTTATTAAGCTATCAAGTTTCTTTTTACGGGTAATTCAGATGACAATTAGCTAGTGTTTGTTTGTTTGTTTTGTGACGGCTATTACTGGTTTTTCTGACTTGACTATTTTGATCACGGATAGCTTTGTATGAAGGTGAAATGATTGTAGAATCGTCTTTGATAAAGCAATGGTTTGTAGCTTTTGGAATGGAAGCAATGGTTCCTTTCTTAGTGTTGGTAAGCTTGATTCTTTTCCAAATTTTGCTGTTTGTTAGTCAATCCATTTTAATTGCTTGATGCATTTTTTAGATCTTTGCTCTTCATACTCTTTACTTGCTGAGGCGGATTAGATTAGATTAGCTTATGTATTTGGCTCTATTACTTTGTTCTTCTTGAGCTTGTAATGCATTTTTGAGTTATCAAGGGAGGGGTTTGCTTGCAGGTAGATATCATACTTATATGTTGCTATTAGAAGTTTATATATGCTGCATTTTGAATCTTTAGTGCTTTTGACACTAGATTAAGTCAAACAAAACCGGATTCTAGCCTTGCGGGCGATTAATGTTGTTGAGGTTTTATCAGTGATGTGCTTAAAGAGACTTGTGTGGAGAAACTTATATGTAGCTATTAGAAAGTTTATGTATGCTGCATTTGAAACTTAACTGCTTTTGACATAAGATTAGAGCATACAAAACCGGATTACCGGATTCTAGCTTTGCGGGGGATTAATGTTGATGTGGTTTTTATGTGCTTAAAGAGACTTGTAGAGAAACTTTCTCATTGACATGTGTTTCGTTGTTTACTGTTCTAGTGAGCGTTGTTTGTTAGCTGAGGAATTTCAACAAAGTTGATTTCATTGGTCCCCAAAAGCATAATTTATCAAAACTGTGTTTTTCCCAAAATGTATGGATCTTTGGCATTGTCTTTGGTCTTAAAAATATTCCTTTTTTGGTATATCAAAAAAACATGAGTACGGAATATATGGTCCCATCATAACTAAACTCCGTAGCAATTTTATATGTCAACAGCTAAGTACAAATTTGTAATCTCAACTCCTTGGATCATTTTCTTTTTCTTTTCACCGCAACTTTTGTGACATATTGAAGGTGGTATTTGTGAAATAATTGTTGCCCCGGTTTAGACTTTAATTGTTTATGTGTGTGTGAAAAAAAAACTTTAATGAATACTACAATATAAAAGTTAGCTTTTCGAATTTCGTGATTTTTCAAAAATTTTACTTAGCATATTCCTACTATATATTATTCGTTATTTCATCATTCATTTTAGTGATCACCACAATCAACGTAAATCGTGTTCCATTTTCTTCAGTTTTTTAGTAACTTTTTAACCATTTTTTTCAACAACCCTTTTTCCTGAAGGACTTTTATCTTGGTTGGCCGTTACTCAATCCAAAAAACATAAGACTTTTCCCATTTTTTGTTCTTTTCAGTGTCTTTGTTGGATGATTAATTGACTTTTTCTTCCTATCCAAGAATATTCTTCTTACTTATCGTTTCTGAATGAAAATTTGTTCCAATCCAATAATTTTCAATTTCAAGTGGATCATTTACACAATCCACACTATATCTATATAAAAACTTGAGTCGTGACGATACTCTAGCATATCTAATTGATGAATATTTATCGAATGGTGAAAGTATATAAAGTTCTTGGTTTTAGTGTAGTATACTTACTCCAAGATATCGTCCTTGGTGCCGAACCACGTTACTAAAATTGTGTCCAGAGTCCAGATGGGGAAAGGGTATTCTCGTACCCGTCCATATAATTTGTAAAGTGTGTTTTCATATCTTAACAAACACATAGGGTTAATTCCAATCTAAACCGAAAAAAAATTTGAATTTCATACCCAAACTTTAGATTTAGTGGTTTTTTTCGGAGTCGTAATTAACCAGTATTAGTCAATTTTACGGTTGCTGAGTCAACTAACACGTATTTGTGACCTTTTAATTTTTTTAGGATTCTCTTGAAGAAACTTACTGTAAAAAGTTTTGTCAAAAAAAAAATCTACTATAAAGACTTATGGAGAATTGTATTTAACTATTTATAAATTTCAACAAACGGATTAGAACATGTACCATCCTCGTCATATATTGTTTCAGGCCTACATATAATTTTTCAAACAATTAGAAGAAATTTAGTAGATCGTTTGATTACTACTTATACATACTTTTCTCATCTATTAACAAAATCGGAACCAAAATGAAATGGTACTAACCTCGTATTATCGTATTTTAATGTTAGATTTGAATTTTCTGTTTAAATATTAAATATCATAAAGTTTCACCTGTCTAGAAATAATCACATGTTCCTCTAGAACCAACATCATTCTCAGCATCACATGCTTTTATAATCTTCACCATCTTCTTTACCTATCCTCCAAATAGATCATATGTTAGAACTATAACCCTAACACCTCATTAACCATTACTCTCTTTACTTCTCTCCCAAGAAAACAATTCTTGATGGCCCAGACCTTTGTTTTCATCTGCTTACTACTCATCTTCTTGACACACTTAGTTTCATCTCTAACTCATGACTTCTCCTTCGTTGGCTTCAAAAAAGCCTCACCAAATCTTATCATAACCGGAGTTGCAGAGATTGCTGCCACTGGAGCCATCAGGCTCACAACAGACACACAGCGCGTGATCGGTCATGCTTTCTACTCCTTACCAATCCGGTTCAAGCCAATCGGTGTAAACCGAGCTCTGTCTTTCTCCACGTCCTTTGCAATCGCCATGGTTCCAGAGTTTGTTACTCTTGGAGGCCATGGACTTGCCTTCGCCATCACTCCAACTCCAGATCTCAGAGGTTCTCTTCCTAGCCAGTACTTAGGCCTTTTGAATTCAAGCAGAGTTAACTTCTCGAGTCACTTCTTCGCTGTGGAATTCGACACTGTCAGGGATTTGGAGTTTGAGGACATCAATGATAACCATGTAGGAATCGATATAAACAGTATGGAATCGAGTACTTCGACTCCCGCTGGCTATTTCCTCGCTAATTCAACCAAAAAAGAGCTTCTCCTTGACGGTGGTAGAGTGATTCAAGCTTGGATTGATTATGATGCAAACAAGAAAAGGTTAGATGTTAAGCTTTCTCCATTCTCAGAGAAACCAAAGTTGTCTCTTCTCTCTTACGATGTTGATCTGTCCTCTGTTTTGGGAGATGAAATGTATGTTGGATTCTCTGCTTCGACCGGTTTGCTAGCTAGTTCACATTACATCTTAGGTTGGAACTTTAACATGAGTGGAGAAGCATTTTCTCTGTCTTTGCCATCTCTCCCTCGGAACCCTAGTTCAATCAAGAAGAAGAAGAAGAAGAGACAGGGTTTGATTCTCGGAGTATCAATCTTGTGTTCCCTTTTGATCTTCGCGGTTCTTGTCGCTGCATTGTTGTTCGTAGTAAAAAAGGCGAAAGATGAAGACAGAGTTGAAGAATGGGAGCTTGATTTTGGCCCGCATAGATTTTCTTACAGAGAGCTCAAGAAAGCTACGAATGGTTTTGGGGACAAGGAGCTTCTCGGGTCTGGCGGGTTTGGTAAAGTATACAAAGGAAAGCTCGCAGGTTCAGACGAATTTGTAGCCGTCAAGAGAATATCTCACGAGTCAAGACAAGGTGTACGAGAATTCATGTCTGAGGTCTCCACCATTGGCCATCTCCGGCATAGGAATCTTGTTCAGTTGCTTGGTTGGTGTCGACAGCGAGATGATTTGCTTCTCGTCTATGATTTCATGCCTAATGGAAGCTTAGACATGTACTTGTTCGACGAAAACCCTAAAGTTATATTGACTTGGAAGCAAAGATTCAAAATCTTAAAAGGGGTTGCGTCCGGTTTACTCTACCTACACGAAGGATGGGAACAAACGGTTATTCACCGCGATATTAAAGCTGCAAATGTTCTGTTGGACAGCGAAATGAACGGGCGGGTGGGAGATTTCGGTCTTGCTAAGTTATATGAACATGGATCGGACCCGGGGGCTACAAGAGTGGTTGGCACATTTGGGTACCTAGCACCAGAACTCACAAAATCCGGAAAATTGACAACAAGCACCGATGTTTATGCGTTTGGAGCGGTTTTATTGGAAGTAGCTTGCGGAAGAAGACCAATCGAAACAACTGCATTACCAGAGGAGCTTGTAATGGTTGATTGGGTTTGGTCAAGGTGGCAAAGTGGAGACATTAGAGATGTTGTGGACAGGAGATTGAACGGTGAGTTTGATGAAGAGGAAGTGGTTATGGTGATAAAATTAGGGCTTCTCTGCTCAAACAATTCGCCAGAGGTTCGACCTACAATGAGACAAGTGGTTATGTATCTCGAAAAGCAGTTTCCCTCGCCTGAAGTTGTTCCTGCACCGGATTTTTTAGATGCAAATGGTATGTGTTTTGATGAGCGCAGCGGTAATGCAGGCGAGTTCGAGGATTTTGTGGATTCAGCTAGGTTTTACAGCGGACCAAATGAAACTACTACTTCGTCGGTATTCTCTTTCTCCGGTAAAACAAGAACTGATCCAAGATAATGGGTTCTTTTAACCACGTTTTAGTAAATTTTTCAAGCAAAGTAATCTGAATGTTAAAATAGTTTATATTATCATCATATGCTGCTTTTTTCAGTTAACTACTTTGAGCTGTTGCTTAAAGTTTTGTGTTGCTCGTTTTTCTCTAATCCTATATATAGTTTATCATAACCTGATTTTGAACGTAGAAACTCTGATAACTTTCTTTTGCATCCAGGAGAGTTTGAAGAACCCATATCATCTTAAGCAACATTAAACCCACCAAAAGGTCATTAGCACAGTGATTTAACAAAATAAAGTGTTTTGACTCTGAAGTCATTGGATTGAATCTGTGATAAACAAAATGTTCTACATGCATCTCTCTCAATGTCTGATTTAATGAGATCGCAGCTAATTCAAATCAAGTTCAAGATTACAACCAAAATAGAGATAATTCATTTTTAGTTATAGAACAAATATCTCGGAACAGAGAACAAGGATTCTTCTATGAGAAAAAAAAGAAATTGGTAAAGCTCAAATAAAAAGAACATAAACGAAGAAGGTTTTGTATATAAAAAAGACATAAAAGAACAAAAAGTAGATGCATTTAAAAAAAAGAAAACAAAAAGTTGGCGAAACAACAACACTTGCATAAACCATTAGTGGGAGTAATTTTGCGGGTCTATGTTGTTAAAATAAGAGAGTAACTTCCCCTTCTTAACCATGAAGTAGGGAAGCTCGACATCAGTACTAGTTTTTGCAGCGGACTGGCTCAAGCTTTCAAGCGTGTCTTGAGGAGTAACATCAACATAACGGAGGATGTCATTGTAGATAACATAAGACCCATTTTGACAACGCGCCACATAGAAAAATTGCAAAAACTTCCTCTCTGTTTTGTCGTCCAGAGTCACGAAACCGCAAACCATGATAAACATTCTATCTTTAAAAGATCTGCAGATCTGATAATCCACACTATTCAATATAAAATTAGAAGCCCTCTTATGCTCATTGGAGACCCTCTTGTTGATTGCCTGCACCAAAAAAGTAACCTTATATTCCATTAAAGATGATTGGAAATTCTCTAGAATTAGTCCATTGGAAGGGGGTTTTGCAACTTACGTCAAGGCCTGGCATCTCGACCATTGTTCTACCAGAAGTCGAAGTCGGTCTGCTCATAACACTTTCAGTGACATACATCAAACCAACTTCCTCACGCATAGGCAACTCGTAGTAAACCTTGACAAATCCAGCTGCAAAATCTGCTTATATAATAGTCACACCAAAACTAAGTTAGTAAGTTTTGTAATATCATTAAGCCAAAAAAAAAAAAAACATTTTAAAATTGAATCAAACACAGTTTATACAACTATTTACCGGATTCAGGAACAGAAGGTAACGCTGGTATTGAATCGATATAGCGGAGGATATCATTGACAATGGCATAAGACCTATCTTGACGACGTGCTAAATACAAAGATTGAACAAATCTCCTCCTCAATTGTTTGTCTTTACAAGTCACGAAACCAGTAACCATGATAAATGCTCCATCTTCAGAACTAGTATTGCAACTCTGAGCAGCAAAACTCATCACATCAAACGAAGCACCTTCATAGTCGCATGATACGATTTGCTCCTGAATTGCCTGCACCATCAAGAAAATGTTTGGACTTGTTAAAAATATAACTAAAAGACTTGTTATTAAAAATACGATTGTTCTACAAAAACTCGGCTATTAAATGATTCGACTATTTCGGTATTAATCTCACATACAGTTAATATAATTACTCCAAACCAGAGTTGTCGATTTCAACAACAAACATCAAACTATAAAAACAGAAACTGAGAAAAATTTGATCTGATTAATAATAATACCTCAGGCGATGTAAAAGACATCATTGTACCGTCAGGACCGGGTCTAGTCATAGCACTGTCGTCGGCATACCACATCATGTAAACTACCTCGGGATAGACTCCTAGATTCAGGAAGTAAGATTGGAGAAAGCAATTGGCTAATGCTTCGGAAGTATTTAAATTCGTGAAGTGAGACTGTATAAAGTCATTGGCTAACAATACGGACGGATCAACATCTTTCATCATGGAATCCATATCTGCACCGGTAATTATGCCCTAGGAAAGACGAAGAAATCCAAAGGAAACCCTAGATATCAAAATCTCTCTAAAACAAACTTATCTCTCTGTTGAGATCAATCGCTGATCGATTTAAAGGAATCACCGGAAGATCAGAGAGAGGCGGCAGTTGTGAGACGGTTTGGATTTTGGAAACCTATATATGCATGCGTTCCATTGAACTTCTTTATATATGGTTTTATTTCATTATATTTAAAATATTAAATTAAATTATATAAGGAGAATGATAATTTGGAGAAAAAAACAGCCTTCTTAAAAGAGATAACTTTCATGATTTCATGACAAAAAATATCGTACGTATATCCTTGAAAATTTAGTTGGCGATGAAATCAATAAATTATGGTGTGGATTCTTATGTAATAGATGATCACCTATTACATCAAAGGATGGTAAAAAAAAAGCCCTGTAAACAATCAAACAAAGTCCGCTGATCGCCGCCTTCAAAGCTAGTGTCTCCGCTACTGGAACAGAGAACACATAGGATCGTGATGATGATCCCTGAAACAGAGAAACCTTAAGTGGATCCTTAATAATCCACCCCAAACCACACATGTTGGTCTCCGACTTCCAAGCCGCATCTGAGAAGCAAAGCAAGGCATCCTGATGTACAGCTGCGCTATCCACCAACTTCTGGATTTTCTTTTTTGGTGGAGCGTGCAGCTTTGCCTCCTGCCAACTTCCAGCTTCCTTAATAGCTTTATGGATTGTGTCTTCCTCTGTGCAAAACCTATCCTCGAAGATAAGAAGATTGCGCGCCTTCCACAAGAACCATAGGATCCAAGGGTACAAAGGGGACAGGCCAACTCCCACAGGAGGGAGGGTCTAGACTCCACAAGCAGATCTTTAAAAGAGATAATGTTTAAAAGGGGTCACTGTTGTGACTTCCGCCACCAGGGTTCGAGGCACAGCCACTGGCAGGTTTACATAGGGGAATTGCCAGACTCGTGGGATTAGTCCTTGGGCTTAGGAAGCCTTTGGGAGACCCGCAGTTATTCAAAAAAAAAAAAAAAAAAAACCTGCTCACCGGTGCCAACTCCCAGACTTTCCTTGCAAAAGGACACCTAAAGAAAAGGTGCAGAGAGTCCTCTATTTCTCCGCAGCGGTTACAAGCCACATTCGCCTCCAATCCTCTGTTTGACAACGCAGATCCAACCGGAAGTGCATTGCGTGAGCTGCTTTCCACATAAACATTTTCAGTTTTGGCGAGGTACGCACCTTCCAAATCATGGAGCTCCAATTAAACTTGTCCACGGGAGCAAGAGATTCAGTCCACATAGAATTTTGTATGTAGCTTTCCACATAGAATTTTGTATAATACTAAAACTAAAAGCTACATAAAATAAAAATGGGTTCTGTTCATAATAGGAATAACTAAAACTAATTTGGGGACTTCTGTTGAATTCAACACTTTGTAATCTTAAAATTTCAGATAATGTCAAACTCTTTAATTAAAGCTACAAAGACTTTTAGTTTATATTTCATGGTAATCGAGTTTCAGATAGCCAAACTCTTAAATTTGAGCTACATAAAGATTGTTAGAATTTTGTCCAAAAAAAAAAAAAAAAAAGATTGTTAGATTTTAATTTGTACAGTAACTAAAAAAGATTGTTCAGAAGGAAACATAATGAATCTTTTAATTTACGATCGGCTCGTCGACGAGACCTGCTACGTCCTTCGGGTGCATGGACTTGATAAAAAGCGCGATACCAGAGGAAGACGATAAAATCACCGGTTTAATGGGAATGAGCCTGGGTCGGTTGTCGTTTGTTAACCAGATGGGTTTATCAAAATTCTCTTATTGTATCTCCGGTTCTGACTCTACCGGTGTTTTGGTTCTTGGTGACGTGAGTTTACCTTCGCTTCCAGCTCTCAAATACACGCCATTGATTACTTTCAGGGATCGGTTACCTTACACTGACCGGTTCGCGTACACGGTCAACTTTGAAAGAATTAGGGTCGGTTCAAAATTGCTACCCATCCCTAAATCCGATCTTATTCGGGACCGTGCCGGAGGAGCCGGTCAGACGATATTGGATTCCGGTACACAGTTTACATTCCTGCTAGCTCGGGTTTACAACGTCCTAAAAACCGAGTTTACCGAACAAACCAAACCGGTTCTCACTTGCGGCCTGCGGGTATGGAAATGTTTGTAATTGGGAATCATCATCAACAAAACGTGTGGATGGAGTATGATCTTGCACATACAAAAGTTGGATTTGCTAATGACGTTAAATGTGATCAAGCGAGTAAACTTCTTGGATCACACAACAAATAGGTTGTTTCATTGGTTTTTAAATTCTTAAAAAATTTGTATTCATTAATCATTGGGTTACAACTCTTGTTATATTTAACTAGATCAAATTTCTCCTAATGCCATATTTTTTAATCATGTATGAATCAAACTTTATGTTTTGGTATTTATATACATTTGTTTTTAACATACAAAAATTTATGATGAGATGACATAAGAGTAGGAGCCAAAAGAGAAAGAACTGGTAACACCCAAACGACGACGTTTCCAAAATAGTGCGTCCGCATCACTTAACCATATGTCGAAATTAATGGTGTCTGAATGAAGACAAAAACTATATCCTCAGGGTAGCGATAACTCGGTCCGAGTCGACTCGGTCCGACTGCGATTTTCGTGACTCCGTCGTCACCACGCCTATGATACGTGAGTAAATCCGACTCTTCTCCGTAGATTTCTCCACCTCCAGGTGAATTTCTCTTCCGATCTCTAGTTCCGTTAAATTATTTGCTCGATGAATGAAACTTTCTCGATGTACCTCATTTTCGCTTATGTGAAAAGATTCGTGTTATTGATAGGGTTAAATGCCTTTCCTTTAATTTCTGTGATCGACATGGTTTCTCGAGCTCTAATTTAGTTTTGGGTTGTTGAATTGATTTGATTGAACCAAATTTAGATTCAGTGACAATTTGGTACTCTCTATGTTTGCTTTTGCATGATTGATAGTATAATAATTGTTTGAGCAAATTTTCTTTTGCAGGCTCTTTTGTGAATTTGGAAAAGATGAGTTTTGTTTTCCGGGGAAGTAGAGGAGATTTAGAAAGCGGATTCTCGGGTTTTATACCCGAAAGGCGAGCTATGGTATGCTTCTTCTTGACAGTTTTTCAATATAGGAAACATATACAATGATTTTTGTTAGAATGTTTTACTTATTGGAAGTGTCTTTTGGTATCACTACAGCGTGTTCATGGAGCTCGACCAGTTAATTCTAATTCCCTTGCTTTTCTGGTTACAGGTATTTCAACTTTAACCTTCTATGTTATCTTCAGTTATGATGTAAATACTTGTTTGGTTTGTGCATTTCAGTTCTTTTGCTGTTTATGATTCTCAATTCGCATCAGATGCCTCCTAATTTCCTGGTATGGCAAATACATGTGATATATTTTTTTTTCCTTTTGAGTTATTTATTTTTAGGCTATGAGTTTGACATTCCACAAATTTGTAGCTGTGGCTTGTGCTTGGGGTTTTTTTGATGGCAACGACACTTAGGATGTATGCGACTTGCCAACAACTTCAAGCTCAGGCTCAGGCTCATGCTGCAGCAGCAAGTGGCCTCTTCAGCCACACTGAGCTGAGGTTGCATGTGCCTCCATCCATTGCTCTTGCTACGAGAGGGCGTCTTCAGGGACTTAGGCTCCAGCTGGCTCTTCTTGATCGGGAGTTTGATGACTTAGGTCAGTTAATTCTGGATAGAATTCGATTTCGTAGTACATTTTTAAGATTGGATATGCCATTATCATCCGATTGTCCCTTTTTTACTATTCTACTTTAATAGTTTGCTCTCTATAGTTGAAGTCTGAGGCAAAAGTTGTTCTGCTGCAGATTATGAAACTCTAAGAGCACTTGATTCTGATAATGTTTCCACAACTTCTATGAGCGAGGAAGAGATAAATGCACTTCCAGTACACAAGTACAAGACGTTGGATCCTGAAAAGTGAGTATCTAACGTATCCTGTCTCTCCTTTAATAGTTTAAAATGTTTTCAAAAGTGGAAACTTTGAGGAATAAAGAAAACTAAGTTAGGATGCTGTGACATAGCAACTTGTAGAGATAGACCTTATGTTCCTTAACAGGGGAAGGGACAGTGGTAGAATTTACAACTTAATAAGGTATTGACTGTCCAATGAGTTACTAAAGATATGTTTTTCAATAGAATCTTCTAAATTCATGGGTTCCGTTGATCCCATGACTTCTTTAATTAATCGTTAGGCCCTAATTTGGAGTGGAAATCTTTAATGAACATTTCAATTTGTTACTGAGATAAACTTTTCTCAGCTTTCATAGCTCAAGGGTTTTTTGTTTCCGTAACAGATTTGTCTAATTATTGTGAATGAATCTGTATTAACGGTTTTTGGCTTGTGTTCGGTTTTGTTGACAGTGGTTGCTCTTTGGCAAAGCAAGCATCAACCTCATCCTCAGCTGAGGTATGACATATTCCCATTTTCCCCAAAATAGCAGATATACAAAAATCACATTTGAACTGGTCAATACTCAGTTTCATGTTGTTTTCCTCTTGTTCGAAGCAGAAGAAGCAAGATTCTGTCACTGAAAGTAAAAAAGGAACAGAAGATGAGCTTACTTGTAGTGTTTGCCTAGAACAAGTTACTGTAGGCGAAATCGTTCGCACCTTACCTTGCTTGCATCAGGTTTCCATCTTAAACTAAAATCATAGTCTTATGCATTTTATTGTCCCACGACTCATACACATCCGTTTGCTCAGTTTCATGCAGGATGTATCGATCCATGGTTGAGACAGCAAGGAACATGTCCTGTCTGTAAATTCAGAGCTCATTCAGGATGGCAAGAACAAGATGAGATCGATGATGATGCTTCCGACATGGTTTGAAAAGTTTGGTTTCCAACACTTGTTGTGTTATTAATGTGTGTGCGAATTAAAATCCCAAACAAATCATGTAACGGTCAATATGATATAACTGATGGATGACTCTGCCTTTCCAAAAGTTTGATTTAGATTCATCATGAGATAGTAGTATCAAAGGGTTACATCATTTTGGTTTTGACTTATTTAGCTTTGCCTTTGCCTTTTCCTTTGCCTTGACCCTTCTTAGCGTCTAGCTTAGCTTGAATCCTAGCAGCTGCAGCAGCTTTTGCTTCTTCTCTCTTTTTCTTATCATCCTCTTTAGCAGCGGCAGCTATCTCTCTCTGCTTCTTCAGATCTCTGCAACCATAAAGTAAAAACGTTTTCATATTTACCAAAGCATAACAAGTCAAAAGTTAGGTCCAAATGGTAATTATAATGCTTACTCTAGCCTGGCTCTCTCTTCAGAAACACTTCCAACACTAGCACCTTTCCTCGGTCTACAAGCAACCAGTTCCACTTCAAAGATCAAAGTTGCACTGCAATTACCAAACATGTCAATTCCATATAAAAAAAACACTCTCACAGTCGCACGCCTTGAACCTGAGGCAGGAAGTGTGTAATATAACATACTCCGGTGGGATGTCGGGGGGAGACCCTGCTCTTCCGTAAGCATATTCTGGCTTACATGTGATTTTTGCAACTTCTCCAACCTGAAAAAAAGATATGCCAATCAGTTGTATATAATAACTGTAAAGTTCATATTATAAGAATAGAAGAAAGACTCGAATTGTAGAAACCTTCATGGTTTTAAGTGCAATATCCCAAGACCGGATAACACTGCCTGTTCCTAACTCAAAAGAGAAAAGCAGATTGTCTTCGCGAGTAGTGTCGAAGACCTTTGCGTCTTCAGCCAATATACCCTCATAATGAACTAAGACAAAATCAAACATGGTTATGGTCCTTCATCAACAGTTCAACACATCAGTAGATGAATAATTCATATATATTGGCCCTAAAGAACATACCATCGACAACAGGAAGATCATCAGAGGGTGAAATAGCATCAGGTTTGGCTCTCCTTACAATCTCTTTCAAGACGCCACCATCTCCACTCAAATCGATCGCATCCCCCATAGCTTCAAAGATTCAAAGCAACCTAATTCACCTTTCACATAATAATAACATTACTGAAATATGAACAGATAAGTTCCAGTACTCATAAACACACACACAAACCATACACAATTACATCAACTAAGTGTAGAATCATTTCTGGGTGAATTTATCATTCTCTCAGCTCAACAACAACAAAATTAACAGCTTCCACAATCTATTAATCATATAGACACAGACAAATGGATGAATTCAAAATCAAACAGGCGAAGTAGAACAATTTCTAGAGATGTTAAAGAAGAGTTAGCTTTAGATTCTCGAACTCACCCGATTCGAGAAAAGATGAACAGTCTCTGATCGGATACGAAAACGGGAGAAGCGAATGTGTAGTGACGAAGTGATAACCGGAAGGAGATCGCCGTAGAGATCGGTGGCCATAGACTGCCCAAATGAGTCGAGAATTTTCCTAGAATCGGCTTTTCTTCTTCTCTAATCCGATGCTTTCGACGTCACGTGTTGTTCTCTAGGGACCGGTGCAAAATTTCATATTCGTTGGCCCATTAGGCCTATTAGTTTTTCAAGTGGCTTATCCGTTGTTAACCAAAGAGAAACGAGAGACGTAGGCCCATTAGGCCCATTATTTTGTCATTAAGTGCAGCGCGTAGCTATCATCGCTTCTCGTTGTCCTAATATTGGTAGTCTCTTAATATTGGCTCTTAGCATTAGATGATGGACACTTAATTGGTAGTCTCTTTAAGGAGTTCTCTTTTTTTTTTGTCTTAAGGCTAAAATCTCACGTCAATTGTCACTTTTTTTTAGAAAATGAAGAAAACTATAATTGTAAATTTGCAATCTCCAATAATTAGGAGTGAACTAAAGTACAAAAGATTCCGCAAAGTGTTAATTTTTAACAGTGAAAGTCAAACGGAAATATCGTCCGCGTGTTGTCTAAGAGAGGTGATAAACAAATCAAAATCAAGCATGCTAATGAACAATCAATATTTTTATAATCATTTAACTAAAGATCCCTTTTGGATTTGTGGGGAGGGCTCATAAAGTATAATTTTCAATTAGTAGCCAAACTATTTTGATTTGTCTCTTTATACATAGTGGATTTGAAACATACTTATTATATAATCTTTTTTATAATTGTTCAATGCCGCCATTACTCTTTTGTATACACAATTTAGGAAAAAGTGTTCTTCACAGTTGCAAATTTGCAATGATCAAAACATCCTCCATATATTGAAGTTTTTAATAGGACAATTAAATTGGAGCCATTTGAATCCTTATGTTTAAGCAAAGGAATCCATGAATTTAGTATTGATATCATTGTCCTATTTAAATCCTTCTTATATGAAAACTTGCTATTCTAAACTTGTATGCGGTATAATATGTACATGACTAACAAAATTTTAGGATGTATAGTACATTATACAAAAACTAATGTGAGCAGTTATGTCGAGATAGTGGTCATATATATATTGTGAACACCCCGAAATTTATGTGCACAATCATTGCCAGAATAATTAAAAGATTCTTAGTAAAAAAAAATTTGCTTGTGATCATTGAAGGTCAAACGTTAAAAACTTATAAAATTTAAAACCTACTAATCGAATGTCACCACAAAGTATCAAAAGTAAAACAATAGCTACATCGGAAAAACTCGACGACTAGAAAAACACGAATAATATAGTACAAAGGAAACAACAAAAAGGAATCCAACACATACAGATACACCTACATAATTTGTTTCTTTTCGATTGTAACATAAAGAAGGTATCATCCAAATCTTAATCACAAAAACAAAAAAGAAAAAAAAGCATTCACTTATATTTTCAAAAAAATTCCAAGAAAATAGTACCTAAACAATACCCTAATCTCTTTAGACATTATTTTTGAGAATACCGGTTCCAGACTTTTTTAAGAGAAAAGTATCTAGTTCTACATGGTCTCGAACTAGATACTTATTTTTTAAAGAAACATCCACATAGTTTAAATTACCAATTAATTTTTTCAACTAACTTCCCAAATGTGAATCCCAAGATTATTGTGCTACTGGAAAATATCACTGAAGGTGATAGTAGCCTTGCACTTGTAAAAATGGAAAACAATAAAAGACCTCTATGTGAGTAAATAAGTTGATGAGAACTATCTAGAAATATATTTTCTATAAAATATCATCACTTCTTCGGCAGTAGCTCGATGACTAGCAGTCTAGCACTCTAGCAGTAGTGACTTGCTTTCTTAAAGAAACCATCTTTCTAGACTCGGGTTTATTACGGAAATGGGCATTTTTATGGACCTAAAATTTGAGATAAGACATTTATTGCATGGGCTTGCAAATTTAGGTATTTGTGAAGACGGAAAAAAGACTGTTATACCCCTGTCTTCTTTACCTTGCTGAAACCAATCTCACCGTCGTGTTCTCGCTTCCGACCACAACAACCTAGCTTCTCCGATTACGACCATTGGTTCTCACCGTTGTGCTCGCTCCGGCTCTGCCAAATATTTTGCCGCCGTCACTTTCACCTCCATTAACACCATCTCCTTCGGCGACTTACAAAACGTCTTTGCCACAACACCATCTCGTCTCTGGCCACCAACACCATCTCGTCTCCGCCACCAACACCATCTTGATTGATTGTTTTTAAATAAAGAAATCTAAACCCTAATAACAATTTAGTAAACCCAAGGGCTGTAATTATAAACATTAATTGAATCAAAACTTCCAATTGAATTGAATAAAAACTTTCAATTCATCTTCTAATTTAAATCAAATTGAAAATTACATGTTTGTGATTGAAAAATCTTGGAGAAAGCTTTTAACATTGTTCAAGCCACCATCATCAAGGCTGAGCTCACCATCGCCGCCGTTATAAGTCGAGATTCAAGATTTAGTCGTTCTTAATCTTACCATCACCTTCTTCTACTTGCTTCTCACCACGGTGCAAGCCGCCGTTGTCACCGGGTCTCATCATCACCACAACCATCTCATTTACAGCGTCGTCTTCTTCTTCTCTTCATCTTGACCGGATCTCATCATTATCACCGGATTTCATCGTTGCAATGACCATCTCGTTCACCGGAATTCTAAAACAAAGCTCGACAACATTTTTGTTTTAATCAAAAATCAGATTAAAACTGTAAAAGAAGAAAGGCAAAATTGTATTTTCGTCATATGAGAAATGCTCAAATACGCAAGTACCGGTGAACTGTCCTGATCTCGTAATTATTGTTGAAGATAATGCCAATCCGGTAATTTATTCTTCTAGACTCAGCTCTGCTTATTTAATCACCTAGGCGGCTAGGCCTAACACAAGAATTATATATTCTAGCTATCATGAACTATATAATTAATGTGGTCGTAATGACTAATGATGATTGATTACAATGGAAGTTGCGGGACCAAATAATACGTAGTGGCTTTATAAATCTAAATATTTGTTCTCGATCGTTAGTTATATTTCTTCTTATAGTATTTAAGTGGCAGCTATTTCATGTAATCGTGGACTACGTAAGATATTGAGTTTAGTTACCAGAGGCAGAGTCCATTGCATAAATAACTATTTTCATATTTATGTAAGCTTTATATCCTGTTTAATAAACTTTGTTTTGGCAAAAAGAAGACTCTGTCAATTTTATTACTTTAACTAGATAATCTTTTATAATTCGCATGTTCAATCCACTATAGTAACAACATTTTTTTATTAGAACATTTTGAAGTTACCATAATTATCCATTGACTTCAATGATATTCAAAAATCCTAATGACCACTTTTGATTTAACCCTTTTGAGTTTTTGAATAATCTTTTCTGTAACACGTTATTTGAACATATCGGCTTTAGACAATAATAGGATCTAATATGATAATAACTGCGATATGTTTTCATATCACGTAATCAAGTTCAAGAAATTAAATTGGTATAAAATAGTTATGAGTGAGCAAGAAAAACGAATCTAATTCACCGTTTTATACTAATTGCTTTATATCCTCTATTGTTCAAGTGCATACACTGAAATAAATTACGAAAAGCAAACACAAACATTGAAATCTAAATTCCAACCAGAAAGTAGAATCCTGCCTATATGTACATTTGTATCTAATCTACTCTTATAGTTTAAAACAGAGGCAAGAAGAAGAAGAGCGAGGTAGGGTTTTGATGTTGATTTAGGAGTCCTCGGAGTTGTTATTATTATGATCAGTCCAGCAAATAAGCATAACGACGCATCTCCTCATGATGTAGAAGCGAGCTCTTTGTTCCTTCACCAATCTCCCACATTTCCTCGTGAAACCGTACTTCCCCTGTTTCTGTCTCGACGAGAGCGTGTTCCTCGACGCGCCTCCGTCGTCTCCGAACCTTTCCTTTTTCGGTAGGTACTGAAACTGCGGCGAGCTTCTCGGTCGAGACATTTGCCTGAGGATTCTTAGACTTATGATCTCCCTTGGGAAATGAAAGTGATGGTTTTGTTTGATTCTTGTTGGAGACTGATGGATTTGAGATATTTTCTTGAATCTGTGAAATTCAGCAAAGTTAAAGAAGAGTTAAGGAAGAGAGTGTATGGGGTACTTCCGCATTTATAATGGTTTACAAATAAATATCCTTTTGAACACAAAAAAGATAAAAACGGTCCAAAAAAAATTAACACTAATAATTGTATGTATAAAATAACCATGTATAAAGTTATGAGTATTCATTTAAATATTATATTTATCGCTAACTTTATTTCCCCAAAAATATAGGCTTATTTTTTTAACATATGGGATTCTTTAGAGGCATTGCTAAAAATCTCACTAACGCACGTAGTAAAAATTTTAACAAAAAAACTCACGTAGTAAATAACCATGCAAAAAAACAAATGTGAAAAGTTAAAAACCCAAAGAAAAAAGAAAACGGGTACAAAAAGAGAGATTTTAAATGCATCAAAGCAAATCTAAACTCTCACTGACATTTTTCTCTGCAACTGTAACTGTTTATTGCTTTCTCAGTACAATTCATTATTCCACCACCACCACCAACAGTTATATTCACTCTACAACAAAAGGACAAGAAAAAAATAGAGGTCCAGAAAAAACAGAGCTACAAAATAACCAGTCTTTCAATCAACAAACTACAATAAAATTTCATAATTGAACTTTTAAAAATAACTAGAATATGTTATTAATACGATTACAAACTAAGACTTGTATACGATTACAAAATTAATCCGAGTGTAGCGTTATTCTTGTAATTTACACAAGTCATTATCGCTTTACAGTCGCATTGAATATAAAAAGCAGAGACATATCTATACAAAATCCATATTAGTCAAACACCAAATCTTGTTTTAATCATTGTGATTAGGATGACAATCACCAATAACACTAAACCACTAATCGGAATCTCTTATTATATACTACTATTACTGATTTTCATACGAGTACTTATTTTCGTACGAATCATCAATTTACCTATCCCCTGGGGCCTGGGTCACTAGATTTTTGTAAATGAAGTAGTTAGCTCAAAAACTATATTTGATTAGCAAAAGTGTCTTAGGAGGCCCCAGGGTAAAGAAAGACAGTTATGACATGTTACGTTAAATGGGATAGTTAAGGCCCAAAACTAAAGCCCAAATTTACAAAAGGACTTAATATTCCAGTGTTATGTTAAATGGGATAAACATAAACAAAACAACAATTCATCAGATTAAATCCTTAAATAATGATACACCATCATTCACAACGAAGTCTTTAATTTACATCTTACGAGATCACTAAGGTCGACGTTTACAACTCAAAACGCACAAATTAAATTACAATATACGAAATCACGGACCACCCAAACTTAATAACAGCATAACCTTCCCAAAGCTCTTATTGATAATAATCTTGCAAAAATTGCATAGTCTAGTAATCAAGCCCCAAATTTGACGTTAGAGCATATATATTATTCAACCATCGGATATAAAGACGTACGTTTTCAAAACCAACTATAATTTGGGTCGGCTCAATTAATTTTCATTTCAAGTTTTTGTTTTGTACATCTTAGCCCAATCATTCCATTGATGATATTTGCAGATCACTACTAAACTCATTTGTTTGGAATATTGAAAAAAGAATCCATGACTCAAATATTCATCACTTGCTTCATATTTGGAGTCTATAACTCATGAACAATATGCTCGACAAAACAAAACAAAGCCTTTTGGTGTTGTAATTTTTTCTCCAAGTCACATATCAGAAGTCACACGTCAGTGAGATCACACATTTAGGAAGCTAGCAAGTTCGATTCAATTAGAATTTTGATCTGTATAATATAATCTTTGAAAATCAAGATTATCCACACACAGTTTGTTTTCACATGTACAAGATCTAAATGTGGACTTTTCCATCAATAAAATGGTTGCCTTTTAAGCTCAATAATATCCATGTTATTAAAATTTACTAGATGTTAAATATTAAATGATGAATATATGAAAACATGAGCGAATCTTTGTAGCAGATCAGACCAACTGCACAACAAGCAACGTACAAAAATTAATCACTTTGTTGTATCTTATTTGCTCAAGAGATTTTCATATATAAAATTTCGATTTCATATACAGACTACCTAGATGATAGTTAGAATTGGCACAGAAATGAGATTCAGATTTAAGACCCTTAACCAAAGAAAAAAAAAAATGAGATTCAGATTTTCTAAATCCGTTCTGGGAGTCATGCAAGTTCGAAAAATATGTAATATATCAAAAGTCGAGAACTCTTATAAGAATTATACAAACCTGTCACATACATCACATCATCATCTAGTACATTAGAGAAGCATAAGTAGAGATCTATCACATACATAAAGAAACATGGACACGAAAAACAAGGAAGAGGGTTGGGTTTCACATGAAGATGAGTCCTTTGATTAACCAGTGGACAAAGACAAGGGACATAACCAGATGTAACCGAACATAAAACAACAGACATATACATGCCTCCCTCATACATATGTCAACTTCCCCCAAACCCTTTAATTCATTATTATATAATCAAATTTATGCAGTTTATGAATCGGCTTTGAGTCTTTAGAGACAGGTCTTATATACTTTGTCGTTAGAAAGAAAACCCTAAAACCTTTTTGGAAATTTTCTGGATCTATACATCGTGCAGCAAAAAGTTAAAACAAAAAAAGATCTATAAGTAAGGGCTCACTTCATCTAGATATTTACCTGTATATATACATATTCGTTTAATATATCATTCATCATCATTTTCTCCAAAAACTTTGTTCATACACACACTCTATTGATAACATATGTATGCTTAGATAATCATCATATGAATACCTGTGCAATAAGATTTAACCATAAGCGTTCATATCCGAGGAATCAACATACGAGGATCTGGATTTCTGATTAAAACCACTTGGAAAAAAACCCTAGATAAATAAGCCATTTAATTGCCGCTGCAGCATCATCAAGATTCTCAAACCAAATAATATAGGCTCAAAAGAAAACCCATAAAAGAATCTGATTTCTGAATCTTGAAGATGTTGCAATAGCAAACAATGACTGCCACTAACTTCAAATTCTGAATCTCATCATCGAGCTAACCCTAGAAGATTTTAATGAGTAAAGAGATCTGAAGAAGAGGAAGAGATTTAGGGTGGTGAAGAAAGTAGGAAAGGGTAAAGTGTTTAAATAGAAGAAAGAGAAAGAGATCAACGGTTGAGATTTTCTTGACATGCTATAGAGAGAGAGAGAGATATTAGGGAAACAGTTACACATCGTAATCGAAGACACCAAATATACCAAAGCTCATTAACCCTCACTGTGGCCATAATTAATTAAAAAGGCAAATCTGAAGGATAAAAAAAAGTAAACGAATTGAAGAGAGTAAATTAATGGAGCAAGCAAGAGTGTTAAACTTAAAACAAAGAGAGCAGAGAGATGCGTTGCGTAGCCCACAAGCATTAAGTTTTGTGGATCGATGGAATTGACACATTTGACAGCTCCTTCTTCTCTCTCACACACACACTCGTCACCATTTAGGGTTTAGGGTTTTCTTCAGACGTTTCCTTTCTTTTGGTCCCTCCTCTTACCGTTTCTGCTTCTCTGTCTCTCTCTTATCTTTTTCTTCATATTAAATTATTGAGACTTTGAAAACTTTTTGGGGGTTTTCACATTTTTATGTTTTATTGGTCCTTTTTCGTTTTTCTAAAAAGTGATCATCTTTGCTACGGAGTATTTGGTCTCATCGAGTGGCGCTTTTTACCTGCAAATTATCTTAAGCCAATATCCAAAAAACCAACACTAATTAAGAGAATTATATATATATATATATATATATATATATATATTTTTTTTTTTTTGTGCAAAGAGAATTATATATTATTCGAGATTTTGATGAAGAAAGAAAAAGACGAATCTCTTGGCTATCCATTAGACGACAAAATATGCAATAGTCATCAACTTTAATTTATGTCATATCATAAAAATTTCTTAATATGTTTTACAATTACTTCAACGAGTTCCTCGACTATTTTAATTTATTCATCTAATGTCTCTTCTCAGAAAAGTTTATTTGGCTTCACCAAAATAAAAAACATTTTTGTTAGAATCACTCTAACACATAAAAAATTAGGATTTTTTAGTAAAGTAGACACTTTTCTAAAAGTTATTTGAGAAGTATGTAGTTTTTTTTAGAAATAGGAGGAATAGACACTTTTTTTGCTTATGTGAGATAGAAGATATGTGTAATAGAGTAAATGACAAAACAAGTGTCAAATATAATTCTACCCTTTGTGTTGTGAGAAAGAACTTTTGATGTAGGTCCAAATTTTTAGGAATAATAGATCAAATACTATTTTTTAGGAATAATGGATAAAATTATTTTTTTATTTTCTTTAATTTGTATATTTTTCTATCACAAACATTATAAATAACATTTTGTATACTACTGTTTGTACACCTGTTTGTACACTAATGTTTGTACACCGTAATTTACACTAATGTTTGTACACCCGTTTGTACACTATTAAATTGAAGTAATGTTTGTACATTCATACGTAATGTACACTAATGTTTGTACACCCGTTTGTACACTATTCAATTGAAGTAATGTTTGTACATTCATACGTAATTTACACTAATGTTTGTACACCTGTTTGTACACTAATGTTTGTACACCTGTTTGTACACTAATCTCGTACACTATCATTTTTTAAATTAACACTTAACAAAAATGGTTCTCTCATTCTAGACGTGGTGTACAAAATATGTGAAAGTGTACAATGTTGTAGACGGTGCAGAAAGTGGTGTATGGTGAGATCTATTATCTCATCGTTTCATGTACACCATTAATATCATGTACACCATACATCGTATTATATAGTTGTACACTATTATAGATTGTAGTTTGTACAATGTCATATCCAGTATATCAACTCTTACATCATGTGAGTATCATAAATTAATTTTTACATACTACCGTTTGTACACTATCTTTATATTATCACGTACACCGTCGGGTTGAGATTAAATATAAAAATTGTTATGTATTCGAAAAATATAGCAAAATTGGACTTTTTAGATTCATAAAAAAAAAAATTAAAGATTAATATGTTATTGTGGTAATTTTTTTTTTATGAATAATTTTTATCAAAACAAAGTGAAATTATTTAAGTGAAAGAGAAGAAAGAAAAAAATAAAAGCTTTTGACTAAGTCAATTATGTCATTATGTAAGTACATAAAACAAAAAAGGATAAATATGTCATTTACTAATATCTCTATTAGAGAGAAAAGTGTATTAGAGAGGAAAGAGAAAAGTATCTACTTTTCTAATTTTCAAAAAAAGTACTTACTTTACAAATTATTAGTGGAAAAAGTGTCTACTTTACAAATTTTCTCAAAAAATTATGTTATTTGACTTCTTTTAAAAACTAATCGATTTCGTTGGATCGTATGAAATCTCTTGTAATCAGGCTTACTGTTGTGCTAAAAGCTTGCAAGGACCTATTATATCGGCGCCTCACTTGTGATCCTGCCTACGCAATTTATCGGAACTTGCTGAATAGGAGAAATTGTATTGCAAAAAAGTTAGTACTTATTTAAAAAGACTCTACAAGAGATGCAACGTTTTCCTACGGCCAAAATCGTAGGAAATTGGTAGGAAATAGAGGTTTCCTACCAATTTCCTACGAAAAATATTTGAAGGGAATCGCCCGTAGGAAATAGATTTTGGTAGGAAATTCGTAGGAAATTTCCTACGAAACCGGTTTGTAGGGAATCGCCCGTAGAAAACCGGTTTGAAGGGAATCGCCCGTAGGAAATAGATTTTAGTAATTTATCTAATCACTCAAGAATTTCGAGACATATATTTTTTTATTAAGTTAGTACCTGACTTGAAACATTGCAATTTTTACAAAAAATATTGATCAAAATTTACATAGATATTCAACATTTGATCAATATTTATTTAATTTTCATGTATAAAAATGTTGAATATCTTTGCAAATTATGGTCATACGAAAATACATTAAGCAATTAGTTTTTAAAAAATGGTTTGGACACTTTCCTTTGTTTACCAACTTATCGCTAAATGGAGCGGTAGCTCAAAAAACTTCCCACATGTAGTGGCATTATGCTTTGGTGTTTTGGTATTTAAGGGATTCTCCTGCAGGTTGAATTTCTCTAATGATGACAAAATAAGAGTAAACCATAACAAGTCAGATATTTAGTTGGTTGAGCCCTATAGGCTAATTAATTTTCATTAAATATACATACATAAAGATTCCTGGGCTAATAGTTCAGCTACACACAAAAATATGGGAATATAGCTTTAACAATTGCATAACTCCAGAATCCAGATTATTGCTTAGTATACTACAAATCTTTTACTGTCAGAGAAATATGGGTGAGAAACGAGGAATTGGTATTGGCACAAAACCCTAGTGTTGCCCACAAATGAAAACTTTATATTATTGTAGAGATTTTAAAAAATACCAATGCTTGTGTATAATACATTGCAACGTACCAAGTTGAGGAATAGAAAGAGTAAAAAAAAGAAAGAAGAAACACGAAGATAGAGGAGATGGGACATTGACGTGGCTGCATATGCCATATGGTACGGATACAATTGAGAAGTGGAGCCAAAGAGCTTACTCCTCCTCCTCGTACGGGACCTTTTTTATTTCTTTTTAATATTTTATTGTCACATCCATCTCTTCATGTCATTGTAAGTACACCACCAATATTTACTTATTGTTTTCTATAATTGTATATACCATAGGGTATAGTTACACAACTACTACATCTCGAAATCTTTCAAAGCTTTTTATTTAAGTACTGTTAAACGTATAATTTCGTATTAATGATAAACGTTATGTATAATTGATTTCTGGTGTTTTTCCTTAATCAAAAACCATGATCGAATGTACCATTTTCACTACTTACTGAAAAAGCGTCTTAGTTGTAATATACGTGTTAATCCCACATATCCCTAGTAGTTTGTTTTTGATATTTATAAATGTAAAGTGATGATGAGAGCCTATATTATGTGATGATAACTAAAATAAAAAGCTTAATTAGGATAACACACATAACCTAACAAAACAACTTTTCGGCAATGGCTTTGCCCATTTATATGTAGAATTTTGGTAATATATTGTGGCCGACAAATGTATGATCCCCTTAGTATCGATGATAGGTTTGTATAGTAGTAGAGGGTTTATGAGATTGATCTAACTTTTTTTTGTTTTTTCGCCAGTGAGATTGATCTAACTATCTAAGCTCGTCTCTACTACAAATACGAAGTGAATCATGAGTCTCATGACACATTAAATGCTTTAATTCAAACTATCCGAAAGAAATTGGTTGTCGAAATTAATGAATGTAAGAGTGTACTTTGTAGGTGTGTGTAGCCCTTAAATTTCGCTGACAATTTGCAAGAAAAAAAAAAAAGAGAAAGTGAGAGTTATAACTATAGAGTTAATTATTGCTCTGAATATATGTAAGTCTATTCTTATTAGCTTTCTTCATTTGGAAAACCCTTTTGGCACACTCAGCCTCTTCCTCTGTCTCCTCGTATACCTCTTTTCCCCTCCTCCCCAACTGCTTTAAATTTCTTGCCAAAATCAATTAATTACATCACAAGATGACATATTATTACGTCCACACTATAGTTTTTTCTTTTATTTGTATATATTGCAATTACCATACCACCATCTTTTTCTAATAGCAGAAGAATGTTTTTCTTATGAATTTTTTCATAGTTATTTTTCATTCATCGATGCTTGCTCAAATCATCGTGAACCATAGTTCCATCTCCACCTTTGCTAGAGTTCTTTATTATCTTTTCTTCTTGAATGTGTTATGGATTTTGTTTTGACAATAAGATCCTCTAACTAAACTGTTTTGAGGACCTATGGGTTGATTAAACTGTACCATCGTTATTGTTTTGTGAAACCCATTGTTCCATAGACATTGTTATTAGTTAAAAATTCACATGAATACACATAGTATATTGATTATCGATTAGTCACACTACATCAAAACTCTTCGTTAAGCCAACATTTTTGTTACATTATGGCCGATTTCTTAATCTCATTGGCAAGATTTGTATATGCAAAAAAAAAAAATTACATTGAGAGACACGGTAAAGTTGAGTTACTATTATATTAACCACAAATTATTGACTTGTTATAGTATTTTGTTTATATATACAGTTTGGTGATTTTAATTTTAAAAAGAAAATCTAAAAAAATAGGAGCCAATTGGAAGAAGAATGGCAGTCTTGCACACAAAGTTAAAATATAAGAAATCAATCTTATCTCGTCGTGAGATAGGAAACCTATCGTGCTTTAAATTTGCAGAAGAATCTCGTCAGACTCTGCGTTATTATTCTCTATACAGTGTAAATTAAAAGTATCTGCAAAAAGCATAACAAAATGCTAATTCATTAGTTCTTCAATAATAGGATTAGAATCGATGTGACAACAACGTCTCGCCACAAAAGACCCTTGCCTTGGATTAATCCAATATCATGTACATTTGAAATTTAGAAATCTTTCACATCAGTCTAACTAAAAATAGAAATATGCAACTCTCGTTAGCTATATCACAAAATATCAAATAGTTGATATAATAGAAGAACTCAATTACACGAGATAAAAAAAAATAAGACAACCAGTTGTAGTGGAAAAGAAGATAAAATTTGCAAATTAATCCATATAAAAATTGATATGGTATCTACTTCCTAAATCGACATGTATTCATAAAATTTATAAAACCACTAACTTTTTGGAAAGGAAGAAGAAAAGCTTAGTTTTTCCATCATTCTTTCCTCATATATGCAATGAAATGATCCGACAGATAGAATAACGCGTCTACTACTTTTACTAAAACACTGCAAAATGTTTTCTTTTTTTTTTTCTCTCCTTTTTTCGATTACACTAAATTTTTGCATAAATGTATTCGATCTTTTCGAAAATAATTCATGAAAGCCAAACTTAAATAAATAAACAACAAAAATGGTGAACAAAATTAGGCAAGTTCCAAGGGAATCTCTGCTTATGGTGCAGTTACTGCTGCAAAAACAAAAACAAAATTTCATCAAATGTCTGAGAAAATGAATTAGTATTGCAAAACAACATATATATTAGTTCCCACACTTGCCTCTCTTCTTCTTCTTCTTCTTTGTTCCAAGAGCTTTGTCTATGATGCTATGATAGTATTGTGTATAAGGAGCATTCGTATTTTGCTTTTCAAGCTGCATAAACGTGTCTGCGGATTGTTGATCGTTTGGAGAAAAAGTCACGTCATCTCTCTTCCTTTGAACAAACTCAATGTTCGACTCTACCTACAAATCAATATCCATTCTCAAAATCAAAACAAGAATTATTCAAGCCAAGATTCTTAATATTCCACAGAAAGGAGATGGGTTGGTTTGGTTGCTTTAATCTTAAGGACTAAGAGTTACCTGCTCGATAAAGCGTTTCACCACCCGCTTCAACCCTTCCATAGTGCTTCTCTCGTGAAATTTCTTCAGCCTCATGACGGGAATAGTTGCAAGATCTGGAAATGATATGTGGAAGCTCCACTGAGCAAAGTGGACAGCAAGCAGTTCAATCACAGAAAAGATACACTGTTCTTGGAAATTTTGGGACTTTAACCAATTCTTAGGTAGCTGCAAAACAAAGAATCTATCAGCTTACCCAGGGATGATATATATTGAAAACCTACTATGTAAGAACTTCCTACTCAAGAGTGTTTATGGTGCTAAATTTCGAACCTTTACAGTTGAGACAGCTTCAAGCTTCTGTTCTTGCTTTTCACCATCATTTGTGGTTTTATATTCCAGCATATCCAACACCAATGATGCAATGGGAATGAATATACCGCTTGTACGAGAGAGATGATTGAGCCATTGGATACATTTAACCCTTAGGAGCAGGTAACGTGGTCCAATAATTAGTTGAGCAACTCCATTTATAACCTGAACTATAGTATAAAGCAGAGGCTGGATATCACAATCCTGAACGTTGGCAGCAATAAAATTTACCCAGAGATCAACACAATTTGTGTACTGCCCGCTATGTATCTTCTCGACGGCTTCCTGCTTACAAAAGTTGAAAGAGGCTAAGAAGAGAAATAAGAAAGCTTTAAGTAGAACAAAAAGTATGCAAATACTAACAAGTACCTTATTCTTTGTAGTGAGAGCCATTTTCAATAACTTGGCAAGTTGTGTAATAGAAACAGAGGCCTTGGTATAAGACTTCTGCACATCTTGAGAGCATAGCTCAACAAGGGAATCTCTGAGGAACGGCAAACGTTGTTCTGAATTTGCCTTTGGAATATCACAGTCATGTAGAAAGGCTTTGAACATGCTGATTAAGCAGGTATCAAAGCATTCTGAGTTAAAAACCATACTGATGTCTTTCAAGATTAGAAAAGCCTGCTGCGATAGAGTCTCTTCACCGGTTACCCACAGATGAACAGATATCTGCACCAATTTACACAAGTAAACATGACTTTCGAGAAAACAAAGGTACATCATATCTAACATTGCGAAAAAATGCCAATTAGAGAAAAGTACCTAAATTGTTTACACAAGCCTACTATTAGGACGTAAACCAAGAATTGTCAATGCATCTATCTAGATACTAATGATATTCTAACGCCGCCGAAAAGATTAGACAAACTTAGATTCTAATGCGTCTAGTCCAATATATGCAAATTTTCCTGTGTGATAAACACACTGTATATATAGAGCGTACCTTGATCAATTTTTTCAGAAGATCTGGAAATGCGGCAAGAAACACGATAGAAACTCTAAGTTGGGTAAGAGCAAAAACTATTATCTCCAAATCTGCTGCCTGCTTAACAAGATGCAAAGTACTTCGAACAAAAGATTTGACCAGTGGTTTTAAACTATCCCATTTTGGGTTGTTCTTCAACTTCAAAATCTTCTCCTTAGTACTGGAGTCTGATAATCCCAGGATACTCCTGAAAGTGTGATCAGCTTTTTGGAGCATAAAAATCATGACCTTAGCAAATGTCTCACTGTCTTCTATGTCATAGTATATATCAGGCCTCGGAATTCCTGATGGTTCGTGCCCATAATGACATGCAGCTCGATACCAATTTAACAAACTAATTAATACTTGAACAGACTGTTTCTCATCAACTAGGTCACAGCAAGTGCTTAAAACAGATCCTGAAAGTACTTTGTGCTTCATTATATCTGAGTCAGCTTCATCTACCAACTGCATGGCATAATCGATAGTTTCAATGTTACTTTGCTGTATAAACAAGAAGAGCATGCGAACAAAATCTGACAAAGTATGATAAATACCACCATTATCAACATTTTAAGAATACAAATATCTGTTACCTTTTCATTCAATTTAGCCAGCTTTTTCTTCTGTTTCTTAAGTTCTGCCAGACTCTCCTTGCTCTGCATCGACATCTCAGTATCACCGATTTCACCTGGAAATTATATCTATTCAGTTACACCATGAAGGAAGGAATTATAAAGGCAATATCATGAAGCCAAACAAAGCAGGGTAAAGCAATTACTTTCTGTTCCATTTCCAACTGCAGAGTCCTGAACATAAAGAGAAACTGTGAATACTTGCTACCATCACAAATAAATTTCACCAAACACTAAGTTTAATACCTCATCCAGATATCCATCACTATCTGAATCACAATCGCGGAGAACTTCATCATCATCCTTGCCGAATACTGCATCTATTGGTATATCCTGAAATTCTTCTTCTTGACATCTGAAAACATATAGGCGAGAAATCATTACACACGGTGCATAACTAATATTCGAGCTATCAAGCTTTTAAAAAACTAATGAAACACAAAGGTATGTTTTCAATGAAAAAAATGAAAAGGAGCAAACTTTACTTAAATAAAGAAATTACAGAAAAGTAGCATATGCAAGAAACTCAAACAGATAACCACGCAGATGTTTGAGTGGCAGGACTGTACAGCAACACAAAACTCTTACCTCTTCTTAGGTTGTTGCTCTACCTTCTTCTTCTCTTCATCTCCCACATGGTGACGCTCATTTCCTAAACCACAGAAAGTTAACATTGGTTCTAAACAATCAGCGATACAGAGTACAACTAAAATCAAAGCTTTCAACTATTGCAAAACCATTATATATCCAATAACATCAGATTCCAACACTAAAAAAAAAAAGAAATTGAGCAGCATCTATCTATGATTATAAAGCTGACTACATAAGAGAAGTGAAAACGAAGAATAACTTACTCTTTGCAAATTTCTTCTTGAAAAAAGGCTTCAGCTTTCTGTTTCGTTTCTCGACAGACTGGAGATTTTTCTTGGCAAATTTCCTAGCTTTCTTCCCCAACTTACCCATTTTACTGCGACTGCGACTGCAAAAGGGTTTCTAGGTATCAACTCGAGGAAACAAAGATTCAATAACTAGGTCGATAAATTCAGATTCTCAATCTACAAATTTGACAATTAAACAACTAGGGTTTAAAAATATATTTTGCTCAATTCCTCTAAATACGAGCATAAGAGAAGTAAAATAAGAAAAATTTACCGGTAAGAATCGAAAGCACAGAGGAATTTGAGATTGAGAACGCGGCGGTGACGAAAGAAGCAGAGAGCCAGAGACAAGTCAAAAAGGGTTTAGGGTTTCTTTTGTTTGTTAAAGGGTTTTAGGCTTTAGCCGAGGTGGTTTGGTTGGGTTCACGGTGTCAATACGGATCCGAATCTCCGGGTCACCCCGGTCTTGTCTGACCGTGTACATAAATGATAAATAAACATTTATATAGTAAAATCTCTATAAATTAATAAGGGAAAAATGTCGTTAAAATCCCCAACTTATTCAAAACGTTGATTTAAATCTTCAACTCATGACAAAACGAAATAAATATCAAACTTATGTTGACTTTCCAAATAAATATTAAACTTATGTTGACTTTCCAAATAAACACCAAACTTTCATTGACTTTCCAAATAAATATCAAACTTCCGTTGACCTGACCATATTAGGTACGACGTTAAGTGGGTTAATAAATCCTCAACTCATAACAAAACGAAATAAATATCAAACTTATGTTGACTTTCCAAATAAATATCAAACTTATGTTGACTTTCCAAATAAATATCAAATTTCCGTTGACCTAGCCATATTAGGTACGACGTTAAGTGGGTTAATAGATCTCGTTAACGGAGGTAATTTTCTGTTAACATATGTGTTAATTGATAACGACATTGTTTCATATAACAACAAAACGACGTCGTTTTGTCGTAACGATTGAATTAAATCCCTAAAGTCAATCTTAGATCCCCAAATCGAGCAAAATCCCTAACACTAAATAGAGTATGATTTGAAACTCGGGATTTTATTGAACAGTTATGACAAAACAACGTCGTTTTGTGTTTAGAAGGAATACTTGTTAGTATTTTGATCAACACTAACAGGTGTTAACATTGTTTGTTAACTCACTTAACGTCATGCCTAATATGGCCAAGTCAATGAAAGTTTGGTGTTTATTTGGAAAGTCAACATAAGTTTAATATTTATTTGGAAAGTCAACATAAGTTTGATATTTATTTCGTTTCGTCGTGAGTTGAGGATTTAAATCAACGTTTTGAATAAGTTGGGGATTTTAATGACATTTTTCCCAAATTAATAATGTTGGAACCATGATATTTTAATAACTTTTAGTGATATTAATTTAAATACTTATTAAAAAATAATATTTATTAATTTACAGAAAATTTTATTTCAGTTGTGAAAACTTCTTTTAAAAAAATACGAGTTAAAGCAATGTGATCTAAATAAAATTAATGTTTTGGATTTTATAAATTTTTATAGTTTTAACATTAAATACTTAATATTTCGAAGAGAAAATAATTTATTTTGACAATGAATAACATCGATTATAAAATTCAAATATACAAACGATATACATAAATTAAAATGGGAGACTCACAAAAATGCCCCTTTTTCAATACCCCTTTTCAAAAATGCCCCTTTTGGATGTCCATTTTTAAAAATACCCCTTTTATGTACAAAATGACTAAATTACCCTTCTTTTAATAAAAGATATTATAAATATATAAGGAAATATAACAAAATTAGGTCCACAAAATACAAAATATTTTTTGGCGGGAAAAGTGATCCCCCAATTTTTCCCACCAAAACACTTGTAAAAATTTGTAAAACCTTTAAAATACCTTGTAAAATTTTCCCGTAAAATTTTTTCCCGCCAAAAAATTTTCCCGCCAAAAAATTTTTTTTGCGGGAAAAGTAATTCCGCAATTTTTTTGGCGTTAAATTTTTGGCGGGAAAATTTTTCCCGCCAAAAATTTACAAGGTGTTTTAAAGGTTTTTTACAAGGTATTTATAAGGTTTTACAATGTATTTTAAAAGGTTTTACAACGTATTTACAAGGTATTTATAAGATATAATAAGATTTTACAAGCTTTTTTATAAGGTTTTTACAAGTTATAAGGTTTTACAAGTTTTTTATAAGGTTTTACAAGTTATAAATACCTTATAAAACATTAAAAGTACCTTGTAAACCTTTTAAAATACATTGTAAAACCTTACAAAACACTTGTAAATACCTTGTAAAAAACCTTTAAATACCTTGTAAATTTTTCCCGCCAA